GGTTAGGGATTGGGGTTTAGGGTTTAGGGTTTATGGTTTAGGTTTTAGGGTTTGGGGTTTAGGGTTTAGTGTTTGGTTTTGACTGGGAGCAGCTGTGCCTCCTTCCAGGAGTTCCAGGAGTTCCGCTGCTGCTGCTGCTGCTGCTGCTGCTGCTGCTGCTGTTTCTTCTGTTGCTGCTACTTCTGCTGCTGTTCTTGCTTCTTCCCTTTCTGCGGCAGCAGCTGCATTTTCCTTTGTGCTGCTTGCGACTGCTTCTGCTGCTGCTGCTGCTGCTGCAGTGTCTGTTCGCCCTGGTGCTTCGGAGTTAGTCTTCTACTTAGGGGTCCCCGCCGATGAGGGGGCACCCCTAGAGGGGCCCCTGTCTGTAGAGTGGGGTTACCCTTTGGATACAGTAGAGCGTCTGCTGCCTAGCAGCAGCAGCAACAGCAGCAGCAGCAGCAGCAGCTCGGATCCCTCAGCAGAAGCAGCAGCAGCAGCAACAGCAGCAGATGCAATGAGTGCTCCTCTGTCTGCTGCAGCAGAAGACTGTGCAGTATTTTTGGGGTTTCCAGGTCAAGGGCCTTTGCTGGGGCGTTCGTGCTGCTGGTTTGCTGCTGCAGCAACTGCAGCAGCAAAGTTTGTCTACATGTGCTTAGATGGGTCTCTAACATTCCTATCTCTTGGAGGCCTCACCCTCCTCTGCGGGCAGCGGCTCTCTGCTGGTTTGCTGCTCTCGGGGGCCCCCTTCTTTGCTGCTGCTTGTGCTGCTGCTGAGGTGGGTACAGCAGCAGCAAAGGCGCTGCTCTTTTCTCTCCTCTTAGAAGCGCAGCGCAGCAGCAGCAGCAGCAGCAGCAGCACGACACAGCAAAGGCATACCAGCACAACCTGGCCCTGGACTTGGCCGTATCAAGGCAGCAGCAGCTGCAGCAGCAGCAGCTACGGCGAATATAGCAGCTACGGCTACAGCAGCAGCAGCAGCAGCAGCACGAGCAGCAAGGTGCTACAGATCCTCTCTGGACTCAACCCCTATTCCCTGATCCGCAAGGTCATCAGACGCAGCCGCAGCAGCAACAGCAGCAGCAACAGCGCAGCAACAACAGCAAGCCAGCAGCAGCTGCTCCAGCCGCTAAACAGCACTGTCATCGAAGTCGCAGAGCCTCCTGAGCACCAGAAGCAGCAGGAGCTGCAGCAGCTGCAGCAGCTGGAGCGCAGCCCGGCAAGCCCTGCGGAGCCTGCCCTACTAGCAAACTGCAGCAGTAGCAGCAGCAGCAGCAGCAACAGCAGCAGCAGCCGCCTAAGGGCAGATGAAGCCTTTCGGGGGGCCCCTACAGACAGCGAAGGTGAAGACCTTGATGAAGGCAGCCAGCACTCCTCTTAATAAAATAAATAAAATAAAATAAATAAAATAAAATAAAATAAAATAAATAAACAAAATAAATAAAGTAAAATTAATAAAATATATTATTTATATTTGCTGCAGCAAACCTGAAGGCGTTTGCTAGCTGCTGCCGACTGCTAAGCAAAACATATTAATCTCCCTCGTTCAGGTGTATGTACACCTGGAGCAGCAACCCCACACTTCGCTGCTGCTGCTAAGGAGGCAGCAAATACCTTTGGGGCTGCATGCAAAGAAGAATATTACAGCTGTTGCTGCAGCAGAAGGCGACCTGCAGCAGCAGCACAGCACAGCAGCACCTGCTTATGGAGGCCTTTAAATAAAGTGGTGTATGTACACCCGAAGGTTTCTATCGATGCTGCTCGTCAAAGAGACAAGAGAGGATTCATGCATGCATGCATGCATGCATCCTCTAGCTGAGGGGGAGGCCCTCTAGTGTAAGCAATGGGGCTTTGCTGCCAGTGCTGCAGCTCCAAATATATTTGCTTCGATTTACAGCAGGAAACACTTTTAAGAGAGACGCTGCGCAGCTGCAGCAACAGCAGCAGCAGCAACAACAACAGCAGCTGCTGCAGAAGGCCTCCTCCTCAGCAGCAGCAACAACTGCAACAGCGCCACCAGTCAAACCCCACACGCCTTGCTTCTCTTTCCAGAGAGCGGGAGGCTTTAATAAAGCCTCAGCAGCAGCAGCAGCAGCAGCAGCAGCAAGAGCAGCAGCAGCACCTCCAACGGCGAACAGGACCTCAGCAGTTTGCGTCTTGTGCTTAGCCTGCATGGCTGTTTTGGGGTTTTGTCTGTGTGCAGTTTGAGGTGTATATACACCTGATGTTCTGGTGCTGCATCTTTATACAAGAGCAGCGTAGCGCTTATGCTATCAGAAGCAGGAGTCCAGAACCTGCTGCTGCTGCTGCTGCTGCTTTTGCTGCAGTTATGTTGCTGCTAGAAAGGCAAGCCCTGTGTCTTTCTATAGGCTGCAGTATTGGGGTGTACAGACACCTCAACAGCACTTTTATTTTTCTCTCCCTACGAGACTCTTAATAAACATTGTTCAAAAGGGCAGGGGCCCCTCAACCCCCTAATAATGCTGTCGGTTATATTTACTTTGCTGCTGCACTGCAGCAAGAAGCAGGAGCCCCTAGGAGCCCCCACCTTGCATGCATTCAGTATGTGCATATAATGAGGGAGCAGGCTGTATAGGATCTCGCGGGCGTTAGTCATCATCAGCAGCAGCAGTTGCTGCTGCAGCAGCTGCAGTTGCTCTAGCAGCAGCAACAGTTGCTGCAGCAGCAGCAGCTGCTGCTGCTGTTGCTGCTGTTGCTGCTATATCTTCCTTAGTCCACTGAAGGTTTTCTGTATGCTTAGCAGCGGCGGTGCTGAAGCAGTTTTTTCGTTGTCTTCTTTCTTTATAGTATTAACTAATTAAAAATAAACTTTGTTAATATTATTAATTAATTTGTTTTGATGTTTTCTAAGAGTTTCTCCTCCGTAGCAGCACGTGGAGGCTGAGGCACTGGGGGGCCCTCACGGGGGGCCCCCCACCGTGTTGGTGGGGGGCCCCCCCTGTTGTTGCTGCAGAGTAGGAGAAGAAGAGCAGCAAATTAAATGTAACAGCAGCAGCAGACTTTGTTTGCTTTCTTCTTCTGCTGCACTCTTTCCGAGGGTTTCTGCTTGATTTGGTCTGGGGGCCCCGGGGGCCCCTCCCTCGCAGACAATGAAGAGGAGGGGGCCCCACACTTATAAAGGGTGCTGAATGCAGTGCTGCTGGGTTGAGGCCACAGGGGCCCTCATCAGCATGCACACAGAGAGAAGGCTTCAGAAACTCTCGCTGCTGCTGCTGCTTCTGCTGCTTCTGCTGCAGCCACAACAACAACTAAAGCAGCAGCAACAACAGCAGCAACAGCAGCAGCAATATTGGAGTGGCCTGTATCTTGGGTATGCTTTTGTGCTTCCTGCTGCACCTTCTGCTGCTTCTGCATGCATTCATTTGCTGCGTTGCTGGGGGCCCCCCTGCCTGTTCATCCGTTCATATCCAGAGTATGTGGGGGCCCCCCGATTGCCACCCGCGGTTTCAGGGGGCCCCCTTAGGGGCCCCCTTATAAACCCTTCTGGGGGCCCCCTGGGGGCCCCCCGGGGCCCCCTAAAGGCTGTTCTTTGCTCTCCTGCTCAGGAGAAGCTGGCGCTTGTAGGAGATGGTAAGGCAAGGACGGGTGAATATTTTGTTGCTGAGTTTGGAGGAGCAAAGAGATGGATGGAGGTCGGGCGTTTCTATGATGTTAATCGAATAAAACAAAAAGAAGGGGGGAAGCTGATGCTGCTGCGCGTGCTGCTGCTGCAGCAAAAGGATGGGCCCACTCTTATGGGGCAGCCCTTTCTAGAGAATATTCGGGTAAGTAAAGCAGCATCTACCCTCATACACATGCTTAGATGCAGGTCCTTATACATAGCTAGCTAGCTAGCCACCTACGCTAGCTGGCTAGCTAGCTAGCTAGTCTCCTGTAGGTAGGTAGGTAGCTAGCTAGTCATCTACATATAGCTAGTTAGCTAGCTAGTCATGTATACCTAGCTAGCTAGCTAGCTAGTCTCCTGTAGGTAGGTAGCTAGCTAGTCAGCTATATGTAGCTAGCCAGCTATATCTAGCTGGCTATATAATGCTGTCGATATATATCCAGCTATCAGATGTTAGTGCTGCTGCACACCATCACTCCCCCATCGTCTGTACAACGAGGCTTCCAACCGCCGCTATTGCTGCTGCTGCTGCTGCTGCTGCTGCCACTGCCACCGCTACTACTACTGTTGCTGCTGCTGCTGCTGCTGCTGCTGCTGCTGCAGGTATGGGCTCGCGTGCTGAAGCACTTTCGAGGCCCTAAGCTGCACTTAGGGAAGCACCGGCCAAAGAAGTGGAGGAAGATGTGGGGCCACCGCCAGGCCCTCAGCCGCATATTAATTGAACGCATTGAAGATGTGCAGCAGACGATGCAGCTGCAGCAGGCTCAGCAAGACCCTCTAGTTGCTGCGCTACTCGTAAGCTTCTCCCTCATACACTGTCCCTTGCTGCTCTGCTGCTGCTACCACCTGCTTCGGTCCTTTGCTGCTCCTGCAGTTGCAGCAGCAGCAGCTCCTGCTGCTGCTGTTGCGAAGCGCCAGCTCTTCTGGCGGGTCTTGAGAGGGCCTGCCTCCGGTGTTGATCAGCATCTCTATACTGCATACGAAACAGCAGCAACAGCTGCAGCTCCTGCTACTGCTGCTGCTGCTGCAGCTGGCGCAGCTGCTGCTTCTGCTGCTGCAGGAGGAAGAGGCAAAGAGTATGTGTTTGTGTTGTGTGTTTGCATGCAGGCGATCCGGCGCTACGAGCAGCCAAGTAAAGATTTGCCTTTATATCGTGCTGCTGGTCTATCTCCTGCGGTGTATAGGGAGCTTCCTTTGGTGGGGGATGATCCGTTAGCCTTATTAGACCCTCATTTAAATTCTTTAGTCGCTGCAAGACTAGCAAAGGGATATACAGACATACTGCCCATACTGGGGGAGGGAGTACGCAGCCCCACCGAAGCAACCAACACCTAAAACAACTCCTGCTGCTGCTCCTCCGCTTGCTGCTGCTGCGCCTGCTGCTGCTGCTTCGGGGGCTGCCGAAGCTGCAGCAGCAACAACGGCAAAAGGACATGCTCTGTCTAGAGATGTGCGCTGCTGCACAGGCGGGCCTTTCTCTACATTATTGATGAACGCTTACCATATATATATATATATATATATATATTATATACTATATATATTATATATATTATATATATGAATGCGAAGCAGCAGGCAGTTGCTGCAGGTCTATTATCAGTGTTTGTTTAATCGCTGTGTTGCCAGTGAAGAAAGCGGAAGCAGCAACAGAGTCAAAGAGAAAGGCTTCTGCTTCTCTCCTCTCTGGGGGCCCCCCTCAGGCGTGGGGGCCCCCCTCAGCTGACGCAGGGGAAATTAGCAACTCTATGAGGAGACGGAGATAGAGAAGGAGGGGGGCCCTGGGTTGATGAGTTTGCTGCTCTTGTGCTGCTACGCATGCGCGGGTGTCTGCGGGGTGCAGCAGGAGACGCCAGGAAGGCGCAGAGGGGCCGAGCCTGCAGCAGCAGCAGTGGATATTAGCAGCAGCATCAGTTGCATGCATGCATGCACGTATGCAACAAAACAAGAAAGAAGACACAAAGCTGTTGCTGGGCTCACTGATGTCTCTCCAAGGATAAACCCCTGTCTGGGGACCTCTGGAGTTTTTAGGTTTTGCTGCGGCGCCATACTGAAGCTGTATAAAAGAAAGTAGAAAACACAACAAATGCAAACACAGCCACAGAGGCCTCTCCAGCAGACCTGCTGTTCACATCCTCGCGAGCACCAGAGATGGTGCTGCTGCTGCTGCTGCTGCTGCTTCTGTTCGGGGTCCCCAGAGGCATTTCACTAGGGGGAATCCGCCGAGTGAAGATGCTTGAAACAAAAGATGCTGCAGCGGGACTGCTGCTTGGCTGAGGGGTTGGGGTGTTAGCGGGGCGGTTCTTGGGGACCTCCGTGGTAGCAGCAGCAGCAGCAGCAGTATCCGCATCACTGATGGGGAAGCTGCAGAAGAAGAAGTTTGCTGCTGCACACACGCGATGAAGATACACCCGAGAGTACGCACCAGGATGCCGGGGTCTTCGATGCTGGAGGCATGGGGGAGCAGCTCGCGCGTACAGACACTCGCGAAGTGGAAGTTCGAGGGGATTTGAATTGCGAAATCGCCAAAGCAGCAGGGGGTGGAGTTGCATGCGTTTGCATGTTCTCCTGCTCCCGTGGTGGAGATGCACGTTTCTGTGCTGTTTCCTGTGTCTGTAGCGGCATAGCGGCAGTTTGGATGTACAACACACAGATGAATGAACGCCTGCTAACCTGCTGCGGCGGCCCTTTTAAAGTTGGGGCGTTTGTTCGGAGGTTTACGCGGTAACTCGAAAAATTCAAGTTGCATTTCGTGTTGAGTTTGTTGTTCCTGAAGTGCCTCGACGTTATTTCTGCTTTTAAATGGTGTTTGGCTTCACCAAGGTGATGTTTTAGATAGAGCAAACGAATTCTTTTTCCCCTTTGTCTTTGACTCCGCAGTGGACGAGTTGGGGGTTTAGGTTGCGGGGTTTCTAACTGCGGTGGACAGGCACTCATTTTGCAGGGTAGAAAAGAGGAGCCACATGAAATAATTGGCAATATATATATATATATATTGCCAATAATATAAATATAAATAGACTGGAGTATAAATTAATGTCCGAATTCCTTCAGAAGTGAAATCCGCTCGATGCATATATATGTGCCGATGGTTTTCGGGTGTATAGGCAGCTCTTGAGTTTCTCTTTTAAGCTCTTGTTCTGAGGTTTCTTTCGCAGTAGAGAGGAAATAAAATAGCAGTAAGTAGCATTTTCCATCAGTTATATTTCAGAGGCAGGATCGCAGGAAAATGTGAATTTTACCCACGACCCTCTGGTGTTCCGTTTTGCAAGAATTCAACGAAATCGAAAATTTCAAATTTCGAAGTTTCCAAGAAAAAGTACCAAAAAAAGGCAATTTTTTCTGCACTTTGAAAGCGTTATGCTGACGGCAGTTATGCAGATCCGGCGATTATTCTATTCGGGGTGGCTTTCCCCCTTTTTCTGAAAAGCCGCAAAGAGCGCGGAATTCCGCAAAGGAATGCAGTATTCACTCGCGTTCTATTGAGGGGCCTTCATGAAGTGGTGGCCCGTGAGGAAAGCAGGTGGACGTTTCTCTTTTTCCTCGAAGGCCAGCAGCACATCGCCTTCTTGAAAACCATCAAACGCACTGTCGAATATGATGGCTCCATCTCGGCCTGCAGGATTCAAGTGCGTGCAACACAGTACATGCATGCAAACCCCGTTAATTGTGCTGCTCATACAACACAGTAATTGCATGCAAAACCCGTTAATAATGCTGCTGTCCAGACGTGTACAACTGCAAGCACGCACGACACCTCTCTGCTCTGCTGATTCCCAGCCTCGGGAGACGCACATTTGCTGGCAGATGGATATATATTCTAAGCTTCTAACAGTGCTGCACTATTCGCTATTCGCTGCTGTGCATGCATGCAAAGCTCCCGCAACGTGGATGGAATT